AACATGTTAATCCTCTGCACGCCATACAGCACCAGTGTATCCAATCCTATTGCGGACAACAACAACTAATAAGAACCCACAACAAAATACGTCTTTAGCATATATTTAATGAAGTCTGCACAACGGTAAAAAGTGAACATCCTTGTTTATCAGTCTGACTTTATGGCCCGGGTCTCCTCCACCCCCTATACTCATAACTCAGCCAGCATTATGCCTGTACACCGCGTGTAATAAGCCGCAACTTTTCAAACACATGCCTGAAAAAAGTGCTCACCTTCCCTCGACAGCCTGCCCGCATTAAACCGCGATGGTTTCCTGCATGCCTTTCTGTCACACCTCAATGGGGACATTGTCATGGATGCGGCTTTCGGAGGCTGTCCGGAGTGGTGGCGCTCCGCGGCGCAGAGTAACACGGCCGCCCCGGGGGATGCGCGGCTCGGCTCGGCTCGGTTCGGCTCCCCCTCAGGTGGCTGTGCCCGCGCTATCCCCATAGATAAACAGATGACCATGCAAAGATCTGTCTCCGAAAAACGCTTGCTGTCATTTGTTACTGCAGGTAACTGGAGTATTTGGAGATAAGAGTGACTAGTATATTTGTATTAATATCGATAGCCTATTCATTTCATACGATGATTGCTGAAATGGTTGTGTTATATATAGCCTAGCTGTGGCAATTACAATTTATCTGGAAATAATCAGATAACTGTTCTACACAAAACTACACAAAATGTGGATGTATTAGCCTAATAAAGCAATTCATGCAAGGAAACGCTTACTCAGTTGGTGCAGAGTGATACTCGTAGACAAGAAATGGCAAAAGCATTTTTGAAGAGGGAGTATAGTAGATTAGTCAGAACAACTAATAATACAATTCGCCTTGAAGACAAAACGACAAACACGCATTTTAATGTAATTAGGCGTAGTTTTCATTTAAACAGTTTTCAGCGTCTTTAGATTATTTCTGACAATGGCAGCATAGTTTCAGCACCCGGACAGCTCCCAAACTTTAAAAAATGACGGGATAGCGTTTCAGCACTGTGTGGCCGGTGACGCCACACTGGATTTTTTTTTGCATGAAGTGAGACATGTACACCAGTGCGATAATTACTCACATTCTGGACGCTAATCCGTGTCTTTCTTTTAACTGTGCACCATGTTTTAATCACTCAGAATCTAGTTTTCATCATTTAAAAGGCACCGAAACAAAACATGTTTTCAGCCTTTAATTATTTTGCTAATTATTTCGTCAACAGTAAGCGCGTAAGTAAAATTCTCACGAGAAGCTGTTGTAATATGTCTGAGAGTCATAGCGCGTAACACTGGGCCTACATTACTGGGGTAAACTTGCAAATGGCCGGGCGAAATATTAGCGGCATATCTCTACGTAACGCCCATAAAACCCCATTAATGTGTATCGATGTGTGCTTTCATTGAACGTCTCCCGTATGGTATAGGACCTGTAACTTCCAGGTCATTGCATAATGCTCCATCTGATTGAAGAAATTGTAGGACTATTTTCCACCCAGGATGGTGAAACACGCCATATCCATCCACTATAATTTAGGAGCATACTGGAATTTCACTCCAATTCTCATGACCATAACCATATCACATAACACACAAACACAGGTAATCGGAAAAGTAGCATGCCCATAACAATGTCATCTGATTAACCCCACTGTGTTGCCTTATATCACTCTTTTTTTTTCATTAACAAAAATGCTGGACAAGTAAGTACAGAATATGGATGGATGGATGGACAGAAATATAAGCAGTAACTGGGAGACAGACAAATAGAAAACATTGACCTTTAAATGTTTAACTATTTTGAACACAGTCCCATTGAGATAAAACAGCTGTAAATGACATTTTTTGTGAACGTTGGTATTCTTACCTTGTTTCAGTTTATTAAATGCTAGAGTGTCTCCTGCCCCTGACAGAAACACTCTGTATTACTTTGTCCTTTTTATGAGGCAGCATCAAGCCTGCAGGCCCATGGACCTTTTATTTGTGGTACAGGATGTCTCTCCTAACTGCAGAAAAGTACAGCGTACAGGACGGTGCTGGGATAAACCAGGGTCAACATTGCTATTGTCTATAGTAAATCTAATTCCGGATTGTGCAATAGCCAGGAGTTAAATATTTCAACTAAAGAAAATTAAGCATTGTACCTAGTATATACTCACATGAATTCATTTTCGTATTGGTCAGAAATACCGTGAATCTAATTGAAATTGAGAAGAATGTATCGGTTCCACACTCTGTGGTTCTGCAACGGTTTCATTATTTACTACGACTTTTAATCAATATTTACAAGAGAAGGTTTTCCTCTCACTAACCCTGTGTGCATATCCTGCTCCTGCAATTTCCACTAGTCAAAAGGGTCAATCATGTACACTATCTGCTACAAACCTGCTATGTTTCTTCTCATTTTTATCTAATGTTATACATCATGGACATGATCAGCTCTGTGTAGAATTGCTCCTCTGAATCGAAAGAGATCATCGCAAGATCGTAGGAGACCTAAGTAAATAATAGAATCCACCAACTCATCCTCTGAGTATAATTATTAAAATGCATTTTGTTTTTTTGTTTTTTAAATTTGGATTCCTTATTTATCTTCACATGACCTGACACGGTGTGCATGTCACACACATGAGGGGCACAAACTGCTCCACTCTAAATGTGGGGAATAAAACTTCAATCACTTAAGATGATTTGGGGGAAACCCTGAAGTGCTTCCACTTCTGTAAAAGTAGCATTTTAGTGAAATGACATCACATTATTATGAAGAGGGCCGTGCATGTATCGCAGCCCGTGGAGATCAGTCAGGTGGCCCTGTTGGCCCGTTTAAGCTTCTCTCCTGCTTTAAACAGAATTGTAAATTTCATGTAAAACAGCAATAACAATTTGTTTGTTTTACTGTGTAGTTATTTAATATTTTCTGCATCAAGTAAGGCGCAAAGTAAATATTTCATGCTATTATTCCCTTCTGACTGCTCTACATTGTATTACAGAATCACAGAGTTAACTTTCCCAGTGAAGCCACCTGATTTGGCTGATTTTTTTCCTCTTTATCTTTAATTTATTTTTCTCTGTTACTTCAGCACAACATGAGCCTCTGACTTTTAAATCCTCTTCGTCCACATGGCGCTGCCTTACACTTGCAGCAGAACTCCGCCATTCTGAAATATCATTAAAAAATGACATCCAGCGATAATGAAAAAGTGTGTTATTGGAAAGGGATTGGAGCTGGATTTGCACTTTACTCAGGCAGATCTGGCGGCCCTGGCTTGATGATGATCTCTACTTGAGTTCATGTCGTGCTTGTTCTGTGAATGATTAGGAATGGAGACTCAGCGCCAGACGACACCTGGCCATCTTTGCTTGTCCTCCACCAATTTCACCTCTGTTCACCTTTGTGCTGAGTTCAGGAATATGGCCATAAACCTGTTTTCACTGTGCAAATTAACAATAAAGCGCCTGCACATCCTGCAGAAGCTGTAAAAGTGAGAATATGAAGGAAGTGTGAGACGGATGTCATAACACAGAGCATGAGGAAATAACAAAAGGTTTTGCTGGAAAAGCACAGCGTGTCCTTGCTAGAATGTGCCTGTATCTCCCATAATCCGTGAAACAGCATCAGCAGCCTGCGCTGTTAGCAGTGACGGTGTCCGTCTGCCGAGGTCAGGGAATCGGCTCTCTAAATTAAGTCCTGTCAATAATGGTTTGTCAGTTGTCCTGTCATGTGCTTTCTGCAGAATAATTAGTTACTGTAACTGGCTGGAATCAACTAATGACTTTTTTTGGGGGAACCTACAGGGTACTGGCGTGTAACAGAGATACTGTGATGAGAGGACGCAGATTTCGTTTAGGGTTATGTTTATTTTCCGCATATTATACGTTTTAAAACATGAACTACTGGCTTGGATGCACTTGCCAGAAATGGATAGAGATGGTATAGGAACCATTTCAACCCCCGTTTCTGAACTGTTAAGGAAACATCATGTAGTTGCAAAACTTCAAATCAAGCCTTTTATCTAAACTTTCAATTATATTGCTACATTAGCAACAAACAAATGACTTAACCAAACACAAGATTCTTTAAAGAAAAGCCCTTCTTTGAAAATGTTCCTCCTGAATTTTGAGTATGCCCTTCTTGTTGCCACTCTGTGAGGCTTTGACTCACTTTATTTGTTTTGAGAAAAAAAATCCATTCAGATAAACAACTGGCTTCTATGTGAAGTCAAATGCATAGAGAAAGCTTGAAACATAGTGGGGGAGAGACTGATGTTACTTTACCTCTAATGTATAAACTTGACTATTTTCCTTCATGAGTTTTTAATTTGACACATTTGGCAATGTCCACATGTAGATTACCAGTGGGTGTTTTCTCAGTACAATCCCTCATCAGTGTTTGTAGTACAGGAACGCCTTCTTTCCTCAATTAAAACTGCAAGTTTAGCATTAATCTTATTGTCAGACTGATCCTTGCTACAAAATTAACTTTATATAAGACAGGACAGGGGCATGGCAATATTGATTCTTCACATAATTACCATGCAATACAGCACAAATAATCACATTTCAAGGTTGCATTGTAATTTATATCCTTTTCAAAGGAATTAAAAAGTGACCAAAACCTCAATGACACCTAAACATTAAGCAGGAGGGAATGAGTCAGCATTTGGTGTCCCTGTGTGAGGTCTAGAACATTCCAGCAGCTAGCATTGTGCATCGCTAGCTAGCACCTCCATCTAGGCGGCTGGGGACATAATGTCCAACTTTGTGGTTATTTGCTGACACACAGTTACCTGCCAGATCATGCTTAATGTAAATGGTTTCTCTCTAAGTTGTTGGCTGATTGCTAAGGTTACCGATTGCTGTTTTGTTCAGTGAGTAACAGGAGTTTGTAGGTTAGGAAAATCAAAACGATCGTGACTCATGACAGCCATGGTCAACATACTGTGCAAAGACAAATGATAACATTTCTGCCAAACTCTGAATCAAAGTGCGTGATTTCTGTAATTTGGGTTCAGTGGATAATACACTATAGTTCATAATTTCACGCTTAGACTGTTGTATTTCACTAGACAAAGTTATCAAAAATATTACAGGGCTACTTTTTATTATTAACGACTCAACTAATTATGTATAACATTTACAATAATGCTACTGTCATATGGCAGTGTGCAAACATACCAAGGGCAAAACAACAGGTTAAATACAAATTCTTTCAAGAAATTCACAAGGAGAAAAAGTGTAGAAAAAAGTAATTAAATAAGGCAAATTTATTATTTGCATCCAACCCATTATCAATATTCTCTTCTCCTTACGAGGATTATTACCAAACATTGGCTTTTGGCATTAAAATAAACTGCTATAAAATTCAAGTTTCCTTTTAGACAGAATTTTTATAATTAAGGGATAAAGAAATTAACTCTCATATCTGCTTAAATTTATCCCACATAAACGCTTTCCTGTGCTTTATTACTCTTTAATCTCCACAGAAGTTCTGCTCCACCTACAAGTAACAAACCCAAGTCAATAATAATAATAATAATAATAATAATAATAATAAACCCTTTCAATCAATTTTATTGGACATCAGCGTATCCATCAGGAATTGAAAAAGTCTTATTTTTCCTTTTAAGGTCTCCTATACTAAATTCCACATGGATGCATATATGTCTGGAACTTTCTTCCGAGGGGAACATCGTTATCTCCCCTTCTACTTTGGTGTCTTGCATCACCTCCACGGGCTCATCCAGGTACAGGACAGCCTGCTTCCAATGTGTCTCTGGTTTGAAGGGGGATGTGGAGAGCACTAGGGGTTTCTCCTCCCCCGGAAAAGTGACAGTGAACCAAACACAAAAGGCATTCACGGTCGAGGAGCCGAAGCAGGCACAGCTGAAGCTGCCCTGGACGCTCCTTAGCTGCTCCTCAGTGACCGTAAGCAGGTCCAGCTCGGCAAAACGGCAGGGGTGGGACAGCACGTCCTCCACAGTGACCAGGCTCACAGCGATGTCATTGTTCATGATGCACTTTCGCGCGAAGCCAGTCATGCAGGACATGTCCACGCCGTAGCGCTCCTTCACGGTGCCCCAGAAGCCTAGGCGCTCCTCCACCGTCAGGTCGTTAATAGGCGCTACGAATAGCTCGGCCTTGGAGGGCAGCAGCAGGCCGCCGGGCTTCAGCCACCTGTCCCGGGCGAGCAGTACGGAATTCAGCATGGACTCATGGAGCAATGCGTAGCCCATCCACTCGCTGACGATGACGTCAACTTTCTCAGGCAGCTGCACCGCCTCTAGGGCGCCCCGAATCACCGTGACCTGGTCCTCCATGTGATTCAGCTTGACTACCTCCATGGCCTGCTCGGCGATCGAGCTGGCCTCCACCGCATATACCTTCCTTGCCCCGGCTTGTGCGCAGAAGATGCTGAGCACGCCAGTTCCCGCACCCACATCCAGCACCACTTTGCCCTGGATAGCATGGCCGTTCCGCGTAATTCCCAACCTGTAGGTGTCCGTGCGCACGCTGTCCGCGATCATCTCTTCGTGGATGGTTACGTCGGAGTAGCTGTCGAAATACAGGTCGTCCTGGACACTTTTGTCCAACTTTCTCTTCTTTGATAAACGAGACATTTCCATGCCTGCAAAACCTGTCCCGGGCCACGCCGCGTTTGCGTTTGCCAAACTTCCGGGATGACGCGGTACCGTGGCATCATGGGAACAGTAGTTCTTGCAGCTTCCGACTACACTAGACCACAGCGTAAATTTGCAATGTTTAAAACTACATTGTCAAAGAATCCAGCGAGTGCCGCGTATGCGGCTTTTTCAATTTCCACAGTGTTCCACAGCAGTGTCGCTGAGTATGTGTATAAACGTGAAAAACGATCGACCCCAGGACAAATATAAGGAAATACAGTTTCATTTCCATTTTTATTTAAGGATTGTATTGTAAATGAAAGATACAAAACCTAGTGTAACTAATTGCGAAATGCTCTTGGTTAAACTTTGTTTGATTGAGTTGAATATGTGTGATGGTTGGATTCTACAAGTGCAACATGAGCAGAGCAGAAATGCATCAGGCACCTTCAAAACCGATGATTATTTCATAATGTAGTAAACGGGTACTGCAGTTGTCCAATACTGTTAAAGTACTTGTGGCTGTTTGGAAATAATCATGTGGTGTTCGTTCTCGTTTTTGAATAAATCTCGTTTAATTCAGTTTCCTGGGTACTGTGTCAGCGCTGATAAAGAACGTGGTCGCTGAAAGTTAAAGGCGAGAGCACTTTCTTCCTCCGTTTAATGCTTTGTAAAGGCTGATAATTGTCACGTTCAGGATGTCTTGGAAAAGCGCGTGTTGGCTTTGCATATTGAGACATTTCTTTGAAATATTGCATAAATGTGGAAAGCCCTTGGAATATTTCTGTCACTGCTTAGTTGACACTTTTATTGTGAGCTGTTGTTGTTTAGCTCATACATTTAGTCAGAGCATGGCCATTAATGTAGCTGCATAGTTTACTGCCAACATGCAGGTTTAAAATCAAGTTCAAGGATATCTACTACATGCGCGGTCTCCTTCAAACGGTCCTTAACTGTTAATTAATTTTTCCGTGAAGATTTCCATTATCTGCAGAGTCAAGAGCTTTGTAATTATTCATTTTCTGAGTAACGCTCAGGCTGCTCTCGAGCGTGGCGGCCAGCCAGGATTATTATTAAATGTTATTGCAATTCAAAGGCATATTAAGCAGCTTAAGCAACTTTTCTATTGCGTAGAAATCAGTGGAGTGGGTCTAATGGCCGACATTTTCTCATGTCAGTTAGGGTTAAGGAGAGTAAATCTATGCAAAGATTATATTATTTTAAAATGTTATAATACTTCTGTGGGGAATACGTGTGACTCTACATGTGTGGACTGTTAGTTTTAAACTGCATGGTTTTCTGCACCCATTTTTTTGTTAGATTAATGGGACACATTTAGAAAACTGTACACATCTAATGTTCTCTTCGCGTACCTGATGACTTTCAGTATGGTGTACAGTCCGACATTTTTTGGGAATCCCGCGAGATGGGAGTCAATTTCTGTATTAATCATAGGACTGGGACGGGACGGAAAAAAAGTAAACGGGAGTACGCGGGAATCATTTTAATAGGCCAGTTTTTATATGGTAAGCAAATGTAAACCAATGCTGTTTCCCTTAGTTTGACCACAGTGCTAGCTGTATCATTGACTTCCCCGTCTGCTAGTGGCTGGTGACTGGCTTGTTGCAGGCAGCTTGTACCACCTGATATAGGCTTTGATTTTATGTGGCGCCGTCATAAAAAAAGTGGTCGGGGCTTGACAAGATAGTTTTACTGCGAAAAATTAACAACGATGTAATATTTCACTTTCAGAGCTTTCAGGCAAGTCAGATATTTTAAGGAAGTTTCTTAGAATCGAGAATTACGTACGGTAATAAAACTATGTTCGCTGTATGTAATATATACAAAATAGTTATACCACAGGGTGTAAAATAACAGTGTGTTATCTTATTGTGTGTAGTATTGTGTCCAGTGTTGTGTATGTGAGCTACTGGATGCCTAAATTTCTTTGGGGATTAATAAAGTCTATCTGTCTGTCTGTCTGTCTGTCTGTCTGTCTGTCTGTCGCATGCAATCCTTTTGAATTCATCACATTACACCATTTACAGTAATTTATTTTGTAGAGCTGGTTGGTTATATATGATGATCTTTGACTCGCTGTTGTTTTGTTTCCAAAACAGCAAGAGTTTAGGAGCTTTTCCGTGTAAAAATTATGAAAATTCCATCTTCCCACTGCTTCGCTGGTGCAGGGTCAGTGCTACAATGCTGTAACCAGAGCCAGAATATATACATGAATATGCCAAGGTGAATCGGAACATTCGAGTTACCTGCCGGTTTGAATATAACCTTCTGCCTCGTCGCCTCAAGGTTTAACCCGAGGAACAGGAGAAGGACATATAGCTTGGGCTTGGCCAGGGGATGCTTTTGAAAAGGCAAAAATTCTGTTTTTTTGAAGAGAATATGAGGCAGGACACAATGACAGAGTCCTGCCACCAAGCAGTGGCCGCCAGCTCCTTTGGATTGTCGGGGGGGGGAGTGGAGCAGCCCAGAAACCTCCCTTTAAAACACGGACATAACCCATAACCGCCCCCCAGCAAGGCAGGCAGACCTCAAACCCGGGGCCTTGTGAGACAGCAGTGTTTCCTGCCAGGTGACACTGGGCTCCGCATAACGGGGAGCAGAGTAATGAGCTGCGGAAACTGAGCCACAAGCGAAGGCTGTGGTGATCTGGTGCTGGTGCTTTCGCCCAATTCCTGGCCTGCTTTTGGCCAGCCATTTCTCAGCAGCTGTTTGGGGTAACGGCCTCTGTCTTCGGGGAACCCAGGCAGTCTGCCAGCTCCTTCCAGAGACAAGCCGTGTTTTGCAGTATGATGGATGCCATGATGCATATTTAACCTTAACAAAATGACAATACATCAGCGGGTTGGACTCTGAAGAGCAGCGCCTGGCAGCGGATGATCCATTAGAGATGGTGGCCCTGTCACTTTGCTCAGACGTGCCGTAACGATCAACACCCACTTGCTTGCTCACCTTTCACTTTTGTACTTTCCTGGCTCAAGTCAGTCTTAATTATGTTTTAACTACTCCAGTCTGTACGTTTTGACCTTGTTTATCATTCTCAAAGTGACAGTCAGTGGTCTGCAAAACACATATTAACTATAAATACATATAACATTGAATGTGATTAGCAGGCAAGAAGGAAATGACATATTTGACAAAAATCATTGAATGTGTAACCATAGCATGAATGACACTTACTTAAAGGTAAGTGCTTTGGAGGGACAGGAGGACAATTCATTTCCTTCTGCCTTTATAGTGCATCATCACTAAGGAACAATTCAATATTCATACAACAAGAACAACGTCAGAACTTATTTGGAGTAACAGACCTCCCACCTTTGTTTCTCATTCCCAAGCACAGCAGATACTATATTAAATGGAAACTTGACATTTACACAAAAAAACAACATTGCATATGAATTTGTTGGCAATATATTCTAATTTGCAAGTAGTAAACTTTGATTCACTTGTGCTTTGAGTGTTCTGAAAGCAGGAAATGTAGCTAAACAAAGGACGGCAGTCGTTCTCATGGGCGACGCGGACCGCGGGACGCCAGTACGGTGGGGAACATGACATTTCTCACGCAGCCCTATTTCTCTGGATTTGCCCTGTCTGCCCATCCACAGGAACTTCTGGAGCATCTGTTTTCCACACGGAGGAGGGCGGGCAGCTGTTTCACTGCACGGATGCTGGGAAACAACGGCAGAGAGGGCAGAGGAAGCCGAACCGGAGGGCACACAGCTGTGGGATTCTCCTGAAATCCAGCAGCTGTCATCATGAACAAAAGCAGCCCTGGCTGATTCACTTTCAGCGAGACCAACCAACCTTCCATCCAGCCATCGATTCCTCCATCCACCAGCACTTATCCTAGTCATGATCACCGGGGGCTATCCAGGGAGCATGGGGGTACGCCCTGGATGGGATGAAGGAGACCATTTGATTGATACTTTTCCTCATTCAGGTGCTTTCAGAGTAACTACACTCATTCCTAAATGGGCAAGTAACCCTGGTCTGTCTTACTTAAATCAGCAGGTGACTTCATACCCTAATGCAACAAAGTGTGACTTTTCTATTAAATAAAACCTCAAGGGAAGCTGGATATCAGATCCTCACCCTAAGAACCCCAAACTGTACGCTCAGGCCCCAAACACCAAGCAGGACTGTTCCGTAAGGACGGTGAGGTTGGCATTTCTCGATTCCCTCCCCTGGGCCCCCTGTCCCCCCGGCGATCCACCCTTACGCCTCCATCCCCGATCCTGCATCCACCGGCCAGGCGGCTCTCCCATCCGGACCGGGCTTATTATCCTCCCGGGCACTTCTCCAGGAAGCGAGCGCACTGCATATAAACTGGATCCTGTAAGGCTTCAGACGGCGGCCGTAGAAGCAGCAAAACCAGGCGGCTGCTGTCCATCAGCCCGATCCCAGGGGATGCGCCACAGGGCTGTCACCGGGACAAAAACTGTCACCTGCCTCTGCTCAGGACAGGACCCAGGGGATGCCGTCCGTCACGGTGCCACGCTCTTCAAAAGGCTAGAATGCAATAACTATACGGATGCAAAAGAGGCATATTCCATTTCTCAGGTGATTGATAAAGACGTAACTCCTGATATTTAAAAGTTGCAGCTCTCTGGGCGGGGAGCTGAATGGATGAGTTTGCACTGAGTTTATTTCAGTTTGGCCACCTGGTCGATGAACACTCCATTAATGAGCATCTCCTGGCGGGGCAGTCACCCGCACACGATCGTGCAGCGTATGACCGCGACCCGCCACAGCAGTGCCGACCATTTACAGGCAGCACGGCCAGTACCAAGCCGCTTCGGGGTGGGTCATCATTTGGGTCATATGGTCTCACCCCCTAATCTGGTGTGGTTTTTTGACCTTTATTGATCCAATCTGTCCTGCCACCATCCAGAGGCCCATACTGGCTGAGGGATCATTGTTAGCATTGGGTTCAGTCCTGTCTCATGTGGCAGTGTTTGGCTTTGTGTCCCTGTTGAAATAGCATCTTTATTTCCCCTGATCCTCTTGAAGAGTTGGGGTTTTCACTTGTAATGGTAATAGTATTAAACGGCAGTGTATGCCTCTGCAGGGCGTGGTGCTGACTCGTGCGTCTGCTAGCGGGGAAATCACCCACTCAGGCCTCACCTCCTTTCCTGATGCTGCTGCATCCCCCCAGCAGAGCTCTGGCTCATCTTTGGCTGGACCCATCTGTCTATTCGATAATCACAGCCTTTCCCAGCAAAGCCCCCCCAGGCTGGCCCGCGATCAATTACCGTGCAGCTCAATTAGATTAAATTGCGAGGAACAAGCTGCAGATATGAAGAGTGTGGAGGAGACACAGCAAGGCACCGACCCCATCACCACCCTCAGGCAGGGCTCTGACCCCATCACCACCCTCAGGCAGGGCTCTGACCCCATCACCATCCTCAGGCAGGGCTCCGACCCCATTACTACCCTCAGGCAGGGCTCCGACCCCATCACCACCCTCAGGTAGGGCTCCGACCCCATCACCACCCTCCATATCACCACCCTCAGGCTGGACACCGACCCCATCACCACCCTCAGATGGGGCTCTGACCATA